ACAATTATAAAGCTGAGATTTTAACTTTCTGATATTCAATATTAGCACTTGCTAATAGCACCGTGCCATTCTGTTTCTTTGCAGGATATAAATGAAAGGAGGGATCTTCTCAGGAACTGCTTTTTTTCACTGATTACCATGAGTTTTCTGCAAAAACTTGTATTGCAAATCAAAGAGAAATCAGAGCCAAAAATGACATACTTAAATAACACTGGATTATATTACCTACTATTAAACAAAAATAATACAATGAAAATAACAATCTTTTAAAGTAACTGCTCTTTGCAGAGTCTATGTATTATGAATAATATTGGAAAATGAAGTCTCCAGGAAAAGAAAATTAATGTTATTGTAAGAACTGTAACTATGGATCTCCTGACATCTGAATGATTAAAACATTAACATTTCATTAAATGATATAAAAACTGTGTCATATAAACAAAAATAAATTCTGTGCAAATAATAATTCATTACTTATTTCTGTTGTTAGCGCTACTATAATGATGATAACATTAAATCGTTTTGAAAGGAAGGAATTACGAGAAAGACAAGATAACTTAGCATGAAAGGCTAATGCCATCTTTTATGTAGTATGGTGATGGATCTCCCCATATGCTCTGTTAAATCTACTTTGACCAGAATTAAAAGAGAAACTTCACTTACCATAGAACTGTAATCCAGGATGCTTATGCCATCCTCATGTACAGCAAACCAGATGAATGACTTCTCACTTGAGGATGTTGATAGAGGCTACAAAGAGAAATCTTCTTTAATTACTATTTCAACATGAACCAGTATGTGTATAATTATGAACTCTCATCTACTATAGAGCTCTCTCCATCCACAGATCTTGCATCAGTTTCCTCTCAGTGTAAATTTCAGCAAAGAAACTAAAACAGCTGCCCAAAGCCATGTAGGCAGCCAGTGGCAGAATTATGAACTCAACCTAATACTCTTGAAGCCTCCCCTGGTGCTCAGATCAATAAAATGTATAGTCTCTTTATTAAAGTCAGGTGTTAAGATTTTTTCATTAGGTCATATGTGTATATAAACAAAGACTAGAGTGCTGATAAGCAATTTTATATACATATATGTATATATATATATATATAATAGATACATTGGGATTACCTCATAAAACATAAGGCATAAGGTGACAGTTCTGTTTAACACAGATGTCACTTGAATCAAGAGAATTAAGATAGGTGTAAGAGAAATTGAAGGTAGGCCAGGACAGAAGGGAGTGCTCTAAATACCCTTAACATTTAGTACTTCTGCAAGGTTCAGCTTTCGTAGCCAGTGAATGATGTCTTTTCAATGCTCTACCAGTTATCAGGTAAAAAAAGGCTAAAATTAAAAAGCCATCTCAAGCCAAGGTATAAGGAAATTGAATGAAACTACCTAGATAAATAATGTCAAACAAGCAGTAAGTGTGTTGGAAAGTTACTATTATGGTATACTTAGTACTACAGCTATTATATTTTACCCATATATGACTTAAACAGATTAGTAATTTCACAAGAGATTCAATCAGCTCATATACAACACAGTTATTGTCAACAAAAGGGTATTACTATTTGCAAATTATATTTATATTTAAAACCCCCACCACTCAAACTCAGTAAAGGTTCTTACTTTTGCTGCAAACAGTTTGGCACCAAAGAAGGACCATTTCCTGGCTACAGTGAGATAAATGCGCACACAGTCTGCAGCACTGTGCCCCCGGAGAGCCATCCATCTTGTAGACAACCGCTGACAAAGCTGTCTATTGAAATGAAGTATGTAATTTAGTTATTGAAAGGAATTTAAATGCTTACCCATAGCGAGTTTAATGAGCAAAAAAATAATCCATTTGTTAAAATGATAATTTAAGTTAATACAACAACTATCACTTATACCGTATTAAATAAATCCAGAGTGTCATTTAATATTTTAATGCACATGAACATTATGAAGTATCTTCTAATTTCTGTAACATTATGATTAAATATTGATGTAGCAGTTGCAGCATAAAGGGAAAAAGTCTGGGACAGCTTTTAATATGTCTCTACAGAGAATCAATCTACCTTTATCAGTACTCAACAGCTATGTCAGTTGTCATTCCAAAAATCCATCCAGCTTAGCACATATCTTTACCTGTGGCTAGTAGTAGATGTGGAAGATATGTTTGGGTTTGTTTTTTTTTTTTTGTTTAGTGCACTGCTAGCAATAAGGTTGCTTCTGATCAGCACTGCACCCTTGGCAAAAGAATACAAGCAACAGGGCAGATACAGAGTGATTATTTCCCTGCCACAGGCTTCCATCTCTGCCAGCTGGTAGTTTAGGGACTACCTGAAGAGTTCAACAGATAGCTGACTTATCCTCAATGACTTAGTCTAACCCAGGACCTCTTATCATTTGTTCTTTGAAATGAATTGCGTAAATTTCTCTTTGTTGTGCATATACATTTGAATGCCCTTGTTGTCTTCTGAGAACGTAATAATGTTACTATGTGCATACGATAGATAATAGCTTTCAGTTTTCTCAACTCTGTACTGAAGAATGAGGAAAACATTTCTGTGATGTTTGCTGGACTTCAAAACCACTGTATCATTGACTTTGGATAATTTATGACACTGTTCTGCTCATTTTCATGTTAGTAGGCACTGATTCAAACAACTTGAAGGTTATTAATTGTAAATTAAGTGATACATTACTAGCAAGTCCACTAAGTTAACGTATTGCCAATCTGACTGGCTGCCAGAGATTGCACATTAGAATAGCAAACAGGTCAGATCCTCATGTCTTTTACTTTCAGTAACTCTTTAGTCTGTGCACAGGCTTAATTTAGATTTGCTGAAAAGAAAAATAAGAATTTCAAAATCACTGGGTTTTGTAACACTGTGTAGTAACTGGTAGAGCTTTTGCTGGAATGTGTGCTTAATGATGGTCCTTTTCTGTGATTAGAAACATGCAGAGGAAATGGGTTCTTCAGTTTAGCAAGAAAAATGAGTTTCAAACATAGGTTTAGGCAAACACAGCACAAGAGTAAACTGTACTCAATGACAGTTGAAAACTTCCTTGTTTCACTCCTAGATTTTTAGAGAATATGAATCACAAAATACATCTCACCTTAGTTGTTCCTCTGAGCAGCCTTGTCTGTATCTCTTAGGGTAGAATCTCTCCAAAACTTGTTTCAGTGTTTGGTTGGACTTGGACTGGGAAGTAACTTGCCCTGCTGGAGTTGAGAAAGGCCGTTCAAAATCTCCAATCTCTACCTAAGGGGAAGTCCATGAAGAAAATTTTTTGTTATTCCAGAGTAATTTTCTAGCTGGATATTATGAACTGTCTTTTAATCTGTATTACCAAGTATAAGATGAAAACCAGTTTGTCAATAATTTTTCACCAATATAAAAGTTATACAAGTAATCTTCTTATTTTTTATTTACCATGGAAAAAATTTAAACATCAAATATAAACTGTACAAATATAATACTAGTTCTGCTCTGAGATTGCTAGATCTCCAGCTTTTACAGTAGTTTACATTTACTGAATAACAACATCAAGTAACTTTCTTAATAACCTTCCTTTGAGCTTTTAATTTTTTTAATATGAAGTTTGTTATAAAACACAGCTCTTATCAAGACCATGTCTAGTCAAGGAGTCTTAGACTTTCATTAACAGCTGTTACTTTGGAATATTAACTTGCAGAAACTATGTAAGGAATAGTGAATGAAGAAACGGTACATGATCACATGATATTTAATCCAAGAAGGCCTGACTGTGGAAGAGGTAAAGCACATTTTTTTATCCGTACTGATTGCCCAGCAGTCTACACTGTAAAGCATTTCCACTTGAAGTCCAGAGTTGCCTTACACAAAGATTCCAGCCCAGTCTGTTTCCTGCACTATCATATGTACAACGTGGGGGTCACATGACTGTCAAGCAGTCCTGGACCAGTTTGCTTCTTTAAGTATTTAACCTGCAAAACTGCTGTGTGAGTCACTCATGCATAAAGATTACCTGGGCTAAAAGAGCTGTCAATTCCATTGCTAATTCTTTGTTTACAGGGAAAAGTCCATTGACTATTTGATCATTTGTCTGATATACTAGCAGCAGCTTCTCTCTGTCTGTCTCTCCATGAACTTGAACTGAAAAATAAAGCCTACAGAAAAAACAGAAAGTTTTTAAATAAAGAAGACAGGGAAATGCATTAGCCCTGAGGATTAGCAGTATCTGCTCTGAATGTGATGTGTTTATGTCAGTGTCAAAACACATTAGCAGAACAACACTTGCACTTCAACTACTGGGCAAGTATTTAATTTCAGTCCTTCGATTTCAGTGTTGGCTTTTTTTTTTTTTTTCCCAGTTCTGCTCATCTCTTAAGGACTAGAAAAAGTGAACTATATTAAAAAAGAAATTCTCCAGTTACACTCATTTACTGTTTTTGTTGCAAGCTTCGAGTCAGCCGATATTTTTCAGGTGAAGAAACTGCAGAAACCAAAAACCAAGGCAGAGATATACTTGCTAAACAAACCTATTTTTGTAAGTAAGGCGGACAGTCCTTGTGCCTTCACATTTCCCAGGGTGTTGTTCTTTGGAGGCTTGCTCCCATTTTGAAATAATGTCACAGATCTAGAAGGAAAGCAATACAAAACGGTCTTTGCCATATCTTCCTATTTGAAAACACCTTTGAATAGAAATTTAGAATAGAACTTATTTTAATATCCTCTACCTATTGCATATCAGAAACATACATAGCTTGAATTTTTAAGCTTACTGAAGTATAACTTCACTTGCATTTCTTAGTTGGAGCATTTAATAATTAACAATTTTGTTGTTTGCTTATCCTGCAACACTCACACTACATCGAAAATGAGCCCTAACATGCTTATTTGGAAAGGCCAGGTACTTGATTTAGCAGCAGCCAGTGAATGTGTAATTATACAGAGTTGTTATATAATTAGTCAAATGCCTTTGATCTCTGCCTTCTCTTTCTGCTGCATGCCCGAGTTTTTCAGGTCTGTTCCAGTAACTGCTGTAAAGGTGATATGAAGTTTGTTATAAAACACAGCCAAAGTGGTTCCCAACAAGCAGTGCAGGTGGGTAGGTGGGCACATGGGGAGGAGGTGGCACAGAGGTTCTCGGAGCTCTGCTGGACCTCATGTCACTGTTCCTTCATAAAAGAGCCTTCCTGGAAGCAGTAATGTGAGTAGCTTCTAAAGTTTCAGTGACCTAGAAAATTAGTACATCTTTTAGGAATTTTGCTTTCCAGATGGTAATTCTTCTGGTACAGGAAGAAGGCTGATTGTGATAACAAACTGTTTGTCACTAAGGCCAGGTTGTATCACACCTTGTAACTCAAAAGTGCAGCTGTGAACACTGGCCAAAGGGTGCAAAAGACTACTTGGGTAGACGTACAAAAAATTCATTATTCATTAGTTGCCAAAAGGCTTGAAAAATATCTAATACCTTACTAAAGCACAGATTAAATTGCATTTTTTCACTCTTTACTGCAAAGAACTTAATTCTAGCAATAGAGGAAACTAAAATTTAGAACAATGACAAGCTTTTCATTGGAAATTTCTTAAACTGAACCCTAAAATTATTCTGTATTTAGATAAAAAGCTCTTTCTTCTTTTCCTTCCCCAGAATCTCCACTCCAGTATTAATGACTTCTTGGACCTCACATGGTCATCTTCTGGAGCTAAATCAGAAATGTTAACTGAAATCTCTAAATCCATGTTAGACTCCAATTGCTTTTTAGTTTTAAAGAGCTCTGATTAGTAACAGCTTACTTTTTTTTTTAACTCACCTGCTACTTCTCTAAATAATATCAATGTCCTATTAGCTTTTAAGTATAGTTAACTGAATAAATTTAAGCAATTGAAAAAGGGATTTAAAAAAAAAAAATCTTTCACATTAAGAGGAAAAACCTGAAGATAGTTTTCATCCTGAAAGAACCTACAGACAGTTTTCAGCTTTCTCTTTTCTCTGAGGAGAGCTCTGTCAAATGAAGATACTTTGGTTTTTTACATGTAGAGCTCATTAAAGGCTTTTGTTTACCTTGATGTTTCCTTGAAGACAGTGCTCTATATCCTTGCCAGAGGGATCATCAGAAAACAGTGCAAATCCCGACTGAGCTGGTTTCCTCATCCCTGTATCTTGGTTCAGGGTGTTCAGAAATTCCTCCACTGTGGTAGAGGCATCAAACCCAACGACCTAAAAAAGCAGCCAAAACGTATTTTGCTATCAAGCTTATACACCCCCTTTTCCTTAAACTGAAGATTTTGAAATATAATACCTCTACAATAACAGTGAGACTGTAAGACCCATTCCACCCTCTGTGGATAACTTATTGTCTTTGGAAATTAAAAATTTTCAGAAAGAATGTGGAAAAGATTTCCATGTGGCAAGTCAATTTAGTGGAATTTTTCTCTATCCAAAAATTATTAACTTCTCAGCAGATTGTACCTTATCTTACTTTGTTTACCAAATCAAATTCACTATCAGAATGCTTCCAAATGTAGTATTTTTGGGTTTATTTTCTTTGTTTGTAGTGGTTTCTTTGCACTTGCTAAAGTTGAATTTCTGTTACAAAATCTATGTAACAAGTATCAGTCTAGTATGTGTGCTTTTTGTGACAAATACCACTTGAAAAATTAAGAAGACCTTGATTTCATATAAAACCTTGCTTTCTGTCTAGGAATACTATGAATTGTTCAAAAAATTTTCAGCTGTCTCTCACAGTTGCAAACACAAACCAGGATGTGAAGCAGCATGCATGGAAGCCTGTGAAGAGTTTCCTACAGGCTTTGACTAATGAAGTCCCATAAGAGTTAAGAATGAAGCCATGTTTGTTCTGTAACAAATATGGTTATCCTTCATGATTGATAATGGGAGTTACAGCTGTGCTTCCAGGCCCTCACTGATTTAACTTCCAAGATGTCTGATGAAAAGAAGTGGAATTTAATACTTTTCCCTTTCTTTCAGTCTAATTCATTCAGCTGGTGGCCAGGTTAAATAAGAAACAGAACTTTGGTATTTTTCATTCTTAAGAGGTCTTGTTTTTTTTATTTTCTCTTAAAGATTTTTCCCCAAACCTTTACTCTTTGCTGATCAAATCAGATCCCAAGTACCATGTGCCTGCCATTGCTAGCACTGGCACAGGATGAAACTTGAACCAGGTTTACTTTAACATTTACAGTTCTCTTCCTGATATAATACTTCCTGTATACGCTCACAGCCAGGGGTTGGGAGAGCTCAGGTTTTGTGGTCTACATGACATTACCTGATATATGCCATTCATGAAATGAACTGGAATACTAAAGGGCAGCGAGTGGTGGTAGGGATTTCTTAGAAGAGTGGAAAGGATTTCCATTCTGGAAGGTCTTGCTTCTCGGTCTCCGTTCTGCTGGGTACGTTCTACACATCGCTGACAATAGATTGCATATTTCCCAAACTCGGTCCTGTGACCAAAAAAGAAGTAAGGCAATCCTTGGGGACTGATTGAAAGGATAGTAAACTGTGAGTAAATTTCTCTGGGGATGCCAGATGGGAGGAGCACTCAGATTTCACGCTGTGAGATTTCCAACACATTTTTTGCATGTGGAATTAGAAAGAGAATTAGTCTACTAAGACCAGCAGAACTGTGCCAAAGATGAACATGGCTCAGGGTGTGTTGTGTAATAACTGTCATATTTTGGGTTTCATGGTTTTTACAGTCAAGAGTTCCACTGAAGAGTATTTTCTGAAAAAAGGGGTAACTTTCCCAAATGATGCATAGAAGTAACATGTACTACATTTTAGTAGCAATTCTACTCAGATTCATTTAAAAATGTATGTCAAAAATCTGATATACTACAGGAAAGACTGCAAATTAAGGTACTTCAGAAAGACTAGTTGACAAGCTGAGTAATAATATTCAGGCACACCTGGAATCTGCATTCTTCTTTAAATGAAGTTTAAGAAGCCAAAGGAATGGGTGCTGGGGCAGAAAGAGTCCAACGCAGAGAGCCAAGAGCTGCAATCCCTGAACAAAAGGAATACATTCACTGTTTTAAACATCTTACAACGTAAAACTTCCTGCTCTAGCTGCTGGCCAGCAGTGCAGCTTACTGGGCCAAGTCGAGACTGTTGAAACACGAATGGAAAAAGCAAAACACAGAGAAAAAGCTGACTGAATAAGCATGTCACCTCATTGAAAGGCCAAGGCTCTCCTTCTATTTACTTGTGTACAGCAAGTTTCTTTTGGGGCTGGAAATGGGAAAGCAGCTCAGTTTGTATAAAAAAGTTAATGCACTGGGAAAAAAATACTAAGGCTGCAAGGCCAAGCACTATGAAATGAGGAGAAGCCTGTGAAATTTGAATTCAGCTCTCCTGTTACATACATGATGAAGCAACACATAAGACATTTTCCTTCTACCAAGTAGACAGTAACTATTGAAAAAAACAATTATTCAATATTTTGGTGTATTGTTGTTGCTCAATACGTATCCATAGGCTTCACTTATTACAGACTGCTCTCATGTACCCTGGACATAGACTTACTAATATTGCAACTACTCTCACAATCCATGCTTCATATTGAAATTTAAAAATGATGTTTCTCCATCTTGATTTATCTGACTTGCCTGGTATTAAATGGAAATTTGACAGCACAGGCACAGATATTCCCTCTCATCAAATACCTGTACTTTGATGGAGGATAGCATCAAGGTATACACCACAGTACAAGCACAGGTAGGAGACTACAGAATGAATTTAGGACTTAAAAAGCTTAGTGTAAGGCTGAAAACATTTTACTGAATGCGTTAGCTCTTAAAAATCATTCCAGTGTGTTACGATTGCAACAATATATTTATCTGCATCAGAGGGAAGGCCTTGCCAGTGGTAAGAAAAGTACCAAAGAAGGACTATAGTAAGTTTAAATTCCATCAGCCATTCATAACTTCAGTGTGTGTTAATTGACACGAATGTGCTATGTCTGTTATAAAAGCTTTGTGAATGTTTTGGGATGCACAAATTGAATCACAGAATGGCTTGGGTTGGAAGGGACCTTAAAAATAATATTGTTCCAATGCCCCTGCCATAGGCAGGAACACCTTCCTCTAGACCAGGCTGCTCCAAGCTCAATTTAACCTGGCCTTGAACACTACCAGAAATGGGGCATCCACAGATTCTCTGGGCAACCTGTTCCAGTGTCTCACCACATATTGGATTAGAGGCTGTTTCTAGATAATAGGTATGTCTGTTAGTCATATTCTACTTTCTGTGGCAAGAGAAAAACATGACCATTACACAAGCCTTAATATGGTAACATTTTCTAGAACATCTCCTAGTTCTGTAGGTATTGCTCCAGTAACTAGGATATTAGCTCAGCTTTTTATCCAGTTTCAATTAAGCAGATGCTACAGAAGAGCTTAGCCTCTTTACCATTCTAAGCAGGCCGTGTAGTTCCTTTATTGCTGCTGAAATTGGTACCATTAAAATACATACTGGGTTACCTGTATTGGTCCTGCCTGGTTTTGTGGATGTCGACGTCTAGTCTGTTTAATAAGCTGGCAACAGATCTCATTTTGAAGTTCAGGATGTGTGAGGCAGATCTGCAAAGCACTTTGGGCCAAAGATACATGGTAATCAATGGCAGGAGAGTCAACTGCAGCATTTATAAACAACTGGCAGGTCTAGATATAAAATAATAAGCAAGTGAGTTTACATACAAAAAGCTCCAACAAATCTTTATGTTCTGTATAACAAAAGTGTGCTTTAATTGAAGTCACAGTAAGTCTACCAGTAGACTAAAGAAACCCTGCTGGTTCTGCAAAAAAGGGGTGAAATCAATGTAGTGAGACTTAAGATAAAAACACCTCCTAGAACCCATGCTTTTCACTCTGCATCTAATGGAGTGAACTCTTAACATGAGTTGCAGCAGTTGTCGTGGTATGCAAGTTTAAGGACATGCTGAACAAAGCTGGCCCTCTACAAGGCTTGCAAAGTCTACAGCTCTCAATGGCAGACAATGTAAAATGCTTGTGCAAGTAGTGAGAATAAGATGGCAGAATATGCATAGATAAGAAAAGCATAACTCAGAGCCATTGATTTACATCTTGGCTTTGCCTGGTATTTTTACTGTGGGTAACTCTGAACTTTCCTATCCCCAGTGCTGGCTTTCTCAGGAAAGCCATGTGTTAAGCATTTGTTGTGTTGTATTAGAAGAAAACATATGTATCACTCATTGCATTTACTCTATAAAATAGTTGATGGAATTTTCAAGGGATGTAAGGAAAAATACAAGAAATAGATGGAAGCCCAATCTATTTCTAGTCTATCTGAAAAATATGTGGATTTTCACAAAGACTAATTTTAATCAGCAATTGACTAACCGAAACATGACTTGATTTGTTTCTAAATAAATTCCTTATCTGACTTTTAAACTGATCTTTACAAAGGTTCAGTAAAGGCCATACAAGTAATCTCTTATTTATGTATTTTAGGCAAGTGTCTGTGATTTGAACTAGGTCTGAAAAGTGATTTACAAATAAATGTACATTTGTTTTTATCAAATAGGTACATTTCCTTTTAAACTTTCGTGCTGCAGGATTGCAGAAAGTAAGATGGATGTACTTCTTTAAAGTCTTTCAAACATTTCAGAGAAACCATCTGGAAAATTTGCCTACAAGTGGCCGTGACTAAACATACGATGCTTGTCTTGAATTCCTTTCTAGATCTGAACCATGAGATCAGAATTCTCCAGATATTTGACGCTTCAGGGAATTTGGTCTTTAGATTTGTTCAAGTTTTGTGGAGAAAATTCATTTATCCAAGCTCCATGCCTTCAAACTTGTAACTTCTTTCACAACATACAGAAAAAAGAACATCAAAATTTTATTTTGTCTCTGGAATAGACTTTATAGCCTGAAAGAAGGTTAATGGCATTGCAGCGTAATACTCTCACCTACCTGGCCTTTAACTGGGAAAGATGTAAGGTCTTAGTGGCAGACAAAATTTTTCAAGAAACTAGCTGTGGCTCAGCAGTTATGATCTGTTATGTGTCTCCTAGTCATAAGGCCTTTTCACTACTCCTGGGAGATATACGTATGCATATTTTTAAAGGTGTATAAAAATCTTTAAAAGTGAATTCCAAAAAATGTTGTGAAATACTTTTAATAATTTTGCTCTGGAATATTTTCTCCATATATTTATTACTGAATATCTAATCCATCTGTTAAGAATAGCTACTTCATAGGAAAATATTTTTGTTTTATTAAAAAGAGCAGTACAATCTCTGTTTTCTATCTCAATTTGAAGTAGTCTATAATTTGCTTAAACTTAAATTTTGCTTTTTCTTCTGATTTTTAAAATGTTTCCCAGATGATTTAAATGTATCTGTGACAAAAGTTTCGCCTAGTATTTTTTCCTCCAGAATTTAATGAAAGCAACAGTATTTCAGCTACAGTTTTCTGAATGCAGAGATTTGTCCATTCTCAAAGCTGGTATGTTCTTTGGAGCTATAAACTTCAAGACTAAATTTTATCATTCATGATGGCCGTGGATTTTTCTAGTAACTTGCAATTTATCAGTAACATATGAAGTAAGTAGGAAAGCCAGAAGTTGAAGCCTAAACTGCTCCTCACAACCAGAAGTGATCTCTTTACATTGGAAGTGATAGTCTTTGGTGAGATAATATGAGGCCATTCTGCTGCTGCCCATTAGTTACCTCCACTAAAAATAAAAGTAAACTTCTCTTTTCTTTTCTCTTATCTGTTGAACATTCTTAGTAAGCCAGCTAATATCCATTCTTTAGCTAAGAGTTAAAATAGTCAGTAAATAAAAAAGGCATCTGCTATGGTTTTACCTTAAATAATTTAATTGCCTCAGTTTGCAAGGCTTCTGATGGCAATGTTGTAAGAGGGGAAGTAATTCCTTCTTTGCTATGGCAAAGGGTAGGATGTCTCCAAATCTGAGAAGCTAAAAGGATAAAAAGGTTTTGCAATTAATTCAGTACATAAGTACACTCAGTAAATAAGCAGTGGAAGATCAGTACGTTGAAATGAAAACAAACTTACTGGCATCACCTTCCACATTTAATAATTTGCAAAGAAGTTGTTCAAACTCAGATCCAACATTTACACTGGTACTTCCAGCTGCAACTGTCAGATGATAAAGCCATGTGTCCTAAATCAGAAAAACACAGCAGTTCATTGTTGGAAGGAGCTGCTTCATCAGGATTTTGCTCTCAACTTCAAACACTACCATGTGCTCCTTTTGAAGCCCAAAGGAGTTTGCCCTTTGTTGAATGCACACGTATTCATGGTCTCTCTGTTACAAACATTAAGCAAGGAAGACTGGACAGGGCGCTCTTTGTAAGTTTTTACCCTCAGAAATCACGTCTAATTATCAGAGCATTCTTCCTTTCCTCTTCCAAAATCTTACGTAAGTGTCTTTTTTATCACTGCCAGATCCCGCTAACCTGGGATATCTCGCTATCTGGCTGGGATAAGGCCAGAAAGCAAAACAAGATTAGTTGAGAACAATGAAGCAATGATAATAAAAATGGTTTTAACCACACCTCTCATTGCTCCTTCACTTAAGTAGGGCAGTCTTTGCTACTGTTAATCTTTTCAGTGAATATGGATACAAGCACCCTAAAACCTCTCAAAAAGGACAGATACAGGTCTGCTACAAGTTAGTGTATGTGAGCAAAATTCTCCAGTTACAGCATATATGATATTCTGCACCATCTACTTATATAGGCAGCCTGCTTATTTTTGTCTATTGTAACAAGGCTTACCTACAGCAGCATTGATTTACAGACAAACTTTGATCGACGTTAAAAAAGCAGAGCCTTCTCCTTGCTTATTATATCAAACTACAAGCCAGATAACTTGTAGATCCCCTTCTTCCTCCTCAAGAAATATTCATATCACAGCACCACACCCATGAATGTGTTACTGAAACTCAATAAAAATGTCCATTTGGTACCTTCTCGTGTTTGGATCCTATAAGAAGATAAGTGGGTCCTTGGTCTTTGGGGTGGATAACAACAGTGTAATGAGTTGATAATAAACTGCGACCACTAGCTTCATAGTCTTCATCAGAATCACAGGATCTATCAACTTCTTCCACCTTTGCCTCAAAAAGCTTGATTTGGCCAAGAGGAAACTAAAAGCAAATATCAGAAGTGGTGAGAGAGGTAATACTTCAGTGCACTCTGATTTTATATTACATATTATTGTATTTATTATTATACACAATTTTTTTCTTATTCTGCAAATAGAAGGAAAACCATGAACTACCATCAATACTCATTTGTATTTGTTTATTTTCAGTTTTGCCCAGGAATGTCAGATATGCCATCTATTGCAGAGAGCAAAAGGAGAGCAACAAGTGCCAAAGTCTGAAGGTGAGATTTTCAAAAATTTTTTTTCTGCCTCTGTATATAAGTAATGCAGTAAATGTCTGTTAGGGTGAGAGAAGTCATTCTTCAGAGTTTCCAGACCTGGTTCCAAGCAAAAATTCCCTGCATGAAGCCTAGAACTTTAATTATTATCTTGTTATTTCAGAGGGCAGTAACGTATTATTGATGTATCTGTTTTGTTCATGCTATAAATTCAGAAAGCAAATTTTTTGTGTGGTAGACCTTCCAGTTGGTTTCATTCTCCAGTCTGACAGATCACAGTACTTCAGTGTTGAGTTGTTTATGTAGTTTGCATCATTTATTAGGAAATGTACGTTAAAAAGCCATTCAAGACGAAATCCTCACAGAAGTAATTATTTCATAGCCATTAACAAGAGGAAGTGACAACAAACATAAATACAGCATGAAACCTTCACAACTGGGTGACAGTACTGCCGGAGGCTGACAGTCTTACTGGCTACTTTATTCAAAGCTCCCTCCTTTCTCACAGCCCCACTGTTCTTTCTCTAGCCGTTCAGACATGAGGATGTTCAAAAGAATGTTATTTATTGGTGCAGTGAAGAAGCATTGGTTACTGAAGTAAGTTGTCTTGAAACCACAGCAGCAGTGAAAAGTAGATGAGGCTTCTCAAAAATATTCTTTAAAAACTGAAAATCCCATACTGGAGAGTAGCTGGCAAGTTTGACTCAGTCAGAGGTGGGATTCTTGAACAGTGATTTACTACAATGAGCTGTTGATAACACTGTCATTTGAAGAAAGCATCACACAGTGCTGGCCCTTTGCTCCAGTGCCTTCACTAGTGAGGATTAAAGATGCATGTGGTGATTTGTGTTTTCTGTAGTGCTTCTGAAGCATTCAACTTTTTGAACAAGATAAGATTCTGAGAAGCAAAAGATATCATTTCACATGGAAGTAATCAAGATTGATTTATTCACCAAGTTTAACTAAAACACAGTTGGCTCATTTTTTAATTTGAATTCCATTTTGAAAGGATGCCTTTTAAATGGACTTTGTTACTGTATTAACCACTGCAGATTGTGTAATTTATTTCTGCATGGACACATTCAGCTACAGAAAGTATGTTCTTAATTAGCAAATTGTTGAACATTAGAAATTAACTAGCCTTGGGAATTTTTCATACGTATTTTGCTTACAAAAGCTACATCCTTATTTTATTACAAGTTAGCAAATTAGTTTCAATTTTACTTTAAAAGGGCAGCCAAACTTCTACCAAATGTGAGGGAAATTCACAAGAATACAGCAAAATTCTTAAATGCTTCTAAAGGGCACGCTATAATCCCAAAATCTTCAATGGTAAAAATGTGTAAATTCAGATACTTTAAAAACAGAGACTTATTCATAGGAGAAATTGTGAGTTAATTTTAATGTCCCTTTAGAGATTAGAGATTCTAGATTAATACTCTAGCCAGGTGATTCCTGACTCCCGTATTACATTGTTTTATTTTAAAAAAATGTTTTGATGTATGGTTACTGCTATCTTTTGCATATAGTTCTTGAAATAAGGTTTAGTTGAATGTTTAAAAATGGCTAGAAATGGAAAGGATGACAAAGGGAATAAGTAGCTCTACATAAAAACTAATAATTACTGGCTCCATTGTGATTGTTTGCTTAAGACAGAAGTTAAAAAATGAAAATTTCTGGGTATTTTTTTAACTGTTAGTTATAATGGATTAGTAGCAGTTAGGTAGGAACCTTCCAAGTTGACAATCTGTGGACAATGCCTTGGGCAACTGTACCTTAATAAAGCAGTAAGTTACTGTTTAAAGTCTACATTCATTGAAAAAACAAGTAAGGGACCTACCTTGTCTTCTTGATTACGGAAATAATACAGGATTTTTCCAACAAGGGTACACCAAACTCTCTTGGAATATCCATGTTTCACCTGTGATTACAGAACATTAGGAACAAGCACAGCCAGAAAAACAGACTAGTTTTCACCACCTCTGAACTTTGGCAGTATTGGGAATAAATGCCTTGGTTCAAATTCTTTCCCCTATTCCTAGACAAAAAATTAAAACTTCATAATTCTATTAAGGGCATAAGAATTGAAGCATTAGATGAAATGCTCATCTAAAACCTCGTAAGGTCAGTGTTTTTCATGTGACTTTGAATCAGACCTAAATTAATGGAAGCTAAGGAAATAGAATAATTGAAAGAAATAAAGTTTCTTTTCATTCAATATTCGTATTAACTTGAAATAATCTGTCGCAGTGAGTAATACAGGAAAAGAGAGTACTTCACTGAAATCAGGTTGGTCAATTAGCAACTGAAACATATGCTGAACTAGGATACCACTGGAGTGCAAATGGAGAGCTCAACACAGGAACTAATGACTTAAAACCAAAAATCAAATCAAATCAAGCAACTAGAAAAAAAAAAAAAATTGCCCCGAGTAGGTGAGTGGGTAGTCCTTCTGGATTGTTCACACTGTAAAATACTGAGGAAGCAAATACATGTCTGTTTTACTTGTATTTGTTTTATTGTAGGGTCATTCTCATCTGGCTGTTGTTATTAAAAAATATGGAATAAAGCAGGTTGGGGGAAGAAGAATTTTCCTACCTTTGTAAGTAATCCTTTCATGGTTGGCTTGATTTCGGACTTTATGAAGAGTGGGCTGGCAGCCTGTATTTTAAGAACGTTCTGTAGTACTTTGATCCATTCTTCTAAGATGTTGGGAGAATCTGCAGTCAGGTAGTATGTTCGTTTTTCTGTGGTCAGCTATGTAGTAACAGAAGAGTCTTGAGCTTCAAGAACTTTATACGTTCAGCCCCACAGTGCGGGGGTTGTAACATATACTACCCAATGTAGTTCCACAGCTTTGAGGGGTTCATTTTCCCCAAAGCAGTTTTCATTAATTCCATAGCCAGGCAGAAACATTCCATAGCCAGGCAGAGCAGACAGACCCTTTCTAAGTCTTTATCTGAAAAGTTCCAGGATACCAAGTTGAGAAAACTCAATTTTATCTCCTTTCAGATAAACGACTTCTCTCAACCTCAATGGCTGGCCCCAAAACTACTCTCCTTATTTCTATCTCATATGTGATGACTGACCTTTGTAGCAATACAAACAAGACTCCATGGCCTTGTTATATTTTCTGTAACTGAAATGATTCTTTGGTTTCAAACAAAGGGCACTTATTACTGAATTCCAAGTCCACACTTGGACTTCCAGTACAATAGAGACTGGAATAACGAGTTCAGGGATGGAGGGAACGCCAAAAACAGAGGAGAAAAGAAGGCACCTGAATTGTTTGTTTTCCATCACCCCTTTCAATATGGCTAGATGCATTTAGCTCAATTTGACCTTGAGGTTTTCGAATGACATCACTCTGTAGGGAAAGAATGGAAAAAGAGTATTTTAAACCTACCAACAAATAGCAATAAATAGTTATACAACTCGTTTAAACATTAATCTGGATAAATAGTTCCTAGTTAAGCATTGAGTACCTTGTACACCTCTTGAGGAAATGAGTCCTGGATCACTCTCTAACAGCTCAGACACCAGAAATGTATCTTGTATCGTTTCCTTCTAGCAGTCCTATATTCTCAGTAAAAAAATCTAACTTAAAACAGCAGATAAGTTACACATACTTACTGGGGATTTGTAATATAGTAATTCGCCTCCTTTAAGCACAAACCACCGTCGTTTCCAGGTCTTTACTTTACCACCCATTTTTAACAGATATCCAGATTTTTCCAAAGGCTCCTGATTGTTTAGAAGGTAGATAAAAAGTAGTTAGACACACATATATACCTATATCCTCAGAAATATTTAAAAATACAAACACAGATATATTAATGACTTAAAAGAATGTTAAATAATAATTACAGTACATGATGAGACTTTTAGTCCAACAAAAAAATTTTTACAAGCATCAGTTAACACAAATGCCATGCACATAGGGTAACTATCCCTATTTATAGTTATAGTAGATGAAGGAGAATGATTTGCCCCAAACTATATAAAAGAATGATGATTTCTGATTTTACTTTCTAATTATTTATATTAAACAAGGAAAAAAATGCATATAAAATAAATTTTTTTTTCCCCAACTTCAGGGCCTAACCTACAGACCACATAAAGGGCACTGCAATTCAGAGGTCCTCACAGACAAACTTTTAGTGTGTACACCTGTAGAACAGAGCTCATAGTTTTTCCTCTGTGAAGAAAGCTTAAAATAATTTTCATCACCAGGCAGTCAATATGCTTGTATGCTAACTACTAACAGAAACAATTTAAAAACTCCTGAGGACTGACCAATACCCCATAATGGTTTGGTTTCCTTGACCTATCCTTGCATATTATGCTACTTATGATTTGATGTGTAAAGTTTTCCCTGAATGAGGAAAATATAGATTATTACTGTACACAGATTTCCACTTATAACTTCACCTCCTTCTTGGAATGCTCTTCTACTTCTCTGAATATTCAAATAATAATTTTAATCTGCTTTTAGTTTTTCATGTGCAATCTGATACTAGACCTGGTTCCAAGAAAGGAAATCTTAAATACTTTGAATTCTTTTCTGGAGTTGTCGACCTATTTTCCTTTATTATATAGAAAGCTCACAATTACCCTCCATTTTCCTTCAATAATTACAGTTTTATACGGTTGACTTATTGTTGGTGTATTTTGCTATTTGTACTCATAAGGCAGTCTGTGAGTCAGCAAGATTGAATATAAAGACATAAATATACATACAGCACCACAGGTGGACTTCTTCATAGAACTTCAGTACTCACATTTTTTCCATTATCACTAGATGAGGACGAGGTCTTAGGAAGTTTCTGCTCTGGCTCTGAATAGTCTGTATCTACTGAATATGCATCTGGAGGAATAGCATAGTCACTTTCCGAGGTCACAGAAGACAGAGATGCACCTGCGGTAAAAGAAGAAAGGTAATTCTTTATGTATTTTTTATTACACTAGAAACAACTGAGGTCAGAACACCCATGCAGAAAGAATATCTGAATAGAATCTGCTGACAAACATAAGTATCAACATAAATCTATCAGGAACCAAGGACTTTTTAAAATATCAGCGTACTGAACTATTACCACAGTGCTAATATCTGATTCTCATTCATAATTAAACAGTTTAAGTCCCTTGTGAATGAAATAACAAATAAATGTCTTCTATATATTATGATCTTCTGTTATATTTCCACAGCTTTTTTAAGGGGGGAGTTAGTGCCATGCATCATACTGAATCTCTAGAAAATGAAAACAGGATCTTTAATTAAACTAAGCAGCTTTTCCCCCTCCCATTTCTATCATTTGCTCTAGTATCTGGATTTCTCACACAACTGCTTGCATACTAAAAAGCCAAGCTCAAGATCTGTGTTGAAGCTGTAGGTGACTGTATTTTGCAATAAGTATGAATTTTTATACTGAGATTTTCTCAAAAACTTGAATTCCAGATTTCAGGTGGTTTTTAGAGTTTATTAGCTTTAATGTTGAAAAAAATGCACACTGTTTTCAATTCTAGTGAACCAGCAATACAAGGTCAAACCTCTCCCTCACTCTTCACAGAAATATTTTCATACATGTGAATATGTACTTTTGTAAGGACTAGTGTTTTTACTCTGCAAGGTTATACTCTCCAAGATTGAAATGAAGAAGCCTTGTTTCCTTTGTTTCATTAATTTCCAAACTAATTTGCCAATTTTATTTTAAAAACAAGGCGCTTTTCTCATTTATTGCTTTGTAAGCACCTGCGCTGTCAGAGTAGGTACTTCTCATGTAGGATCTTTAATAACAAAAGTGCAGCAAGTTAATTATGCTTCTGGTGAAATGTGAAATGACTGCCTAGAATTTTAAACAATGTGATCTCAACAAAAATAAGTACATATATGTTTTGTGGTTAAGAACAGTTTCCACACGTGAAACAATGAAAGGACAGTTTTATGGGAAGTAAGCATGAACAAAAGGAATGGTTCCATTTTACAGGCATGGATATAAATTGTAGGTGAAACCAGATTTTAAATTACCCGATTTGGCTTTCCTGTTGTGTGAGCACGTAACATGAGATGTGTCTGCAGCCATGGCACTGGTTTTCACTCAGCAAGATGGAGCTGCTGAGAAGCAGGAACTATGGGTCCTTTTCAGATTAATGCAGCAAAAGTTTAACTGCATCACTGGAAACAGGACTGGAGTCCACTTGTGGCTGGCACTGGAAAACACCAGCTGGACCAGCAGCTGGCTCTGTCAGTCTGCTCCAGGCTGGATGAATGGAGCTCCTGCTAACTGGGATTTTAATGTGTATAACAGAGACTACTAAGTCATGTTATTTTGCATTTTTATAATGGAGGGTCTAACACTTGGCCTCACTGGAATCTTAGTCTCCCTTGATTCACCCAGTGAAGAAATACTTGCAGGGATATAACACTGATAATGTCACCCCATGAGGAAGCACTTCTATCTTTCAATGTTATGAAGCACATTATTTTCATTCTGCAGATGGAAAACACACAGTTACCTAGAACTGTGCGATTTGTCTTCCACAAAACAGAGGACATTACTGGATTCAAGTGTTTTAACTAAATTTTTGCACAGGACCTTGAGACAATCACTATAAAAATGGAAGAAGTCTCTTACAACATGAAGTGACAGAACTAAATAATTTGATAAGGAAACTTTTCCACCTGCTTTCTGATCACATGCAAATTGTTTTATAAACTTGAATATATATGGGATTTTTTTTCTGATGGTGATTAGGTTTTTTCTACATAATTTTTACTTATCTACAGTAAATATCACAGGAAGTCCTTGCCATGACAGAGTATAGATAGAATGGTGTTCCTTGCTTTAAATGTTCAAGTTACTTTTCCCCCAACAACAGCCAGCTAACAGATTAATGCCTTAAAAGACATCTATAATAACAGCAATAAAAAAGCGCCATGTGTAACAGTCCTTTCTCCTGCTTGAATATTAGATCTAGGCTTGGAGAGCTGAGATAAAAGCCTAAACTTAAGATGCCCACACTGTTTAAGGAAGAAATCAGTTTCTAAGAAAATCACATAAACTGCCTAGTTTTCCAAACTTCCCAGAAATTCCTTTTCTTATGGTTTTGACTACCTCGTTTCATAGCCCGAGGACTGCCTGGACCACTTCTGCTTCGAGAATCAGACTCAGAAGTCCTTGAGCTGGACCGAGAGCTGTCTTCTTCCTCTGATCCTGATGATTCATCTATAAATGGGCTGTTGCTTATTTGAGTTGCTTTCTGCACAAATGAACACAACATTCTTTGATACCTTGCATAAAGGCTATCAGTCATTTCCTTCATACTGTGTCAGAGCTCTGTTGGCTTCATAATATTCAAAGCTGTTTCTTGCTTGGGTTGTGAGTTTTGGCACACAAATACTAACATGAAACTGAATTCCCTCTGCCCTCTGTATACTCAAACACACCCACACTTTAAAACAGAAACCTGAGGTAGCTCAAGGCATGGGTCTTTCCAAATCACAAAAGACTGTCAGAAACAAACAATGCTGCGATTACTTACTGCTGGTTTTGTGACTACAAACAGCTTTGGCACTGACACAAAGAATTTCTACATACACATGCTTTTAATTATGACATTGAACACCATGTGGTTCTGTTTAATAATTAACAAGCCTTTGGAAAAAATCAGCAAGGAACCTAAGAAGAACTGACCTAGGCTAGTAACATTTCATAAGCAGTATTTTTTTCCCCAGCTATTTGACATTTCTATTACTTCTGGGGTTCTGTGATCTCTAAACATCAATGTACAACATATTTGGCATGGTAGTATCAAATGTAAAACAGTAAGTTCCTGGATATGAAGCCTCATGGTATTTAAATATTTCCTTTAAACAGTAATACAGTTACCCCTTTCAAAGTGGTATAGACAGGAGTGGTCATGTTCTTATATATCAGGGATGTATATAATCCGGATATGGAGCATGAAGTTAGTGAAACAGCACCTAAAAAAGCAACATATTCTATAAATTACCTTCTTAATTTACTCCTCAATTAACCAAATTCAAATGTGATTTTTTTTGGTGTTAACTGCTATAAAAAGCAAACTAACTCCCAAACTGTTTTAGATGGGAGATTTATAACCTTTTAAAATTTACAATGGTTTTAAGAAGCATAAATAAAACTGCAGTAATGAGCACTATTCCTTTTTGAATTGGAAGTATAAGCTCTTACCTTGGTACCTCGTATAGAATATTCAAAAGAATTGCAAAGTAAAGTGGAGTGAACAATGCACAAATTCAGCACAAAATCAAGAGGTAAGGTAGACTATGGAAAGATAACCAATAATCTAGGTTTTAAATAACTGATAACTAAATCTTCATAAAATTATTTTAGAAGTCCTTGCTTACACATCAACATAAGAATAGGATTTTTTTTGATGAGACAATGAACAACTAAACCACTTACTTTTATTACGAGATTCCAGGGTCAAAGCTTCAGACATCCTTAAACCAGATTTGGCTACAGCATAAATTCTGCTTTCCTATACAAGCAGAATGGATTTGATGGTACATAATTAAAACACAACAAATACTTTTCTTCTGTTTAGCCTCCTAGTCTTTGTGTTAGTGCAACTATATGCTAAAATGGGTCACAGAATGACAGCAGCTGAAAAATGCATCCTTCTTTTATATGCCATACCCATCATATTCATAGTCTGTTTCAACATTTTTCATACAATGCTTGCCCTGTAGGTAACTTAGTTTTAAAAATACTATTATCAGGTGCCAAGGAAGCTATAGTAAGAATGTTTTTTAATGGAAGATTGCGAGTTAAGAACAGAGAAATGCCATTAAAAGACAGTTTTTCAATCATTTTGTGTTAGAAGACTACAATAAGAAAATCTGTAAAGAAAAAAATGCACTAAAATATATACATAGAAAAGCTGTTACATTAATGCATTATTCATCTCTGAATCATTAATAAATCTCTGACACTGGAACCGCAGAATCAGTGAGTCTTGACACGGTTAATTTTGGATTTTCTGTAAGGCTTATTCATATCTATTTTAATATCCTGACTGATGGCTTTAAAATTTTATGTGGAAACGTGATCAATAACTTCTGTAATCTGTAGCTGTCTTCTGTCGCCTTGATTGTCTAGATTGTGAGTCATAGAGTGGTTACAGTGACACCAGCATTCCTAGGCTGTGTTGGCATTCAGATAAATAAGTAAATGCAGTCACAAGCATTACATCCTTTGATACACTCACTCAAAAGGACATATGCAACTTAGATGTGATGTGAAAATATTGGTCTTATGTACAAAACAGTGACTGTCTTTTTCAATGGCAGAAATAGTGTGCTTAAAATAAAACGTGCTTCTGAGTTTGTGGTGTTATTTCCGCTTAAGGTTAACACCCAGTCTTGTCATTAAACAGAGAATAAGAAAAATATGAGGCAATAAAAATCATACAAGAGAGGCATGAAAATAAGTTAGCTTCATCAGTAGGAAAAATATCCATAATCACACTTACCCAGGAAGGAAATCGATGTAATGGAGGGGTTGGAGGTTTGTTGCTAGCACCCTTTTTTGTCATTTCACAAGGTTCCTGGACTTCAGCATTTTGTGCTTCAGTGCAGTCATAAGTAAACACTCCTTCATCACAGCCAATCTCCATTTTCTCTAAAATATCAGTATCTTCTCCATCCACCAGATCTATGTCTGTTTCCTGAGGTCTCCATGGACGTATCATGCTTATGGCATTTCTATTTCTACCAAACATTCTGTCAGAACTCAGCTGGGGCTGGCTTAGGTGTTTCTTTGCTAACGCTGAATTTAGACTAAAAACATTAGGAGTCCGTAACTTTGGAGGTGGCAAATTTGAGGGAGAATTTGATGGAGCTGTGCATTGAGAACCTGCAGAAGGTGCTAGAATTGGGTGTCTGGGTGTCAGAGCAGGGGTTAAAATTGGACTTGGGGTATTTGCTTCACTGGATGAGGATGAATAATCTAGCCTCTGAGATTGAAATTTCTTATTTAGTTCATCTGAAGAACTATCTTGGTCTTTCTTTTTACTTGTGAAGTCAGAGTTGCACTTTCCAACCAGATTGTTCTGGCCTTTTCTTTGGGATCCTTGCTGCCAGGAGTATAACTTCTTTTGCTGAGTCCTCTTAACACCAAAACTCTCTTCTTCAAATAGAGAACTACTGTCATCAGATGCTGTCAAATACATTTCACTTCCCACTCTACTGTACCTTGCATTCTCTTCAGATGTGTGGCTCGAAAGAGTCGATGCACTCCTGGATTTCAGTCCTTTATTGTCTCCTCCATCCTCATCTGAGCTCCAGTCACTCCCGGTAGTGCACGAGTTCTTTGACATGTCGCTGTCTATATCTTTGGATGAACAGCTTGTTCTCACATTTTTGTTCTGCTCTGAACCAGAGGAACTTTGTTGCAATGACTTCTGACCTTTATTTGTCTCATGTGCAGGACTATCAAAGGTAGTTTCCAGGATATCCTTCTCTAGAGGAGAAATATAATGAACATGAGAAAATTACTTTAGCAAACTTAACTGATAAAGGGTTTTGTCGTCATGCCTGAGAATAGTAAGTAGGTAATAACTTCAAATGTGTAAGCATATTCAAGACTTTTAATACTGTAAATAATAAACATTAAGAACATTTTTTTAATGTAACTGAAGTTGCAATTATGTTTGCCAAAAAAATGTTCAGTTCTAGCTGAACTAAAAATGGCAATAAATGTAAAAATAAGCAGACTGGAGTCATATATTAAAGTAAACCAAAAATGGATGAAAACAAACAAGCAAACAAAACCCAACAAAAAGCCAAAGACTTAAAAGGGCATACGAATTTAGCTTCCTTAAATCTAAGGAAAATTAAAATTTAACAAAAGTTAGAAAAGATTTTCATTACCAAATTGAGTATTCTGAGCATTTCTACAGTACGTATCCACATAAATTTCTTCTGCAAGCTATTATTGTATTCCCAGTGGTGACTGCTTAGGATATACAAGAGAGGCTCATGGAAAATACTTAAGGAAAGACGCTGTATTAAAAATAGCTTTGTTTCTGCTGTTCACTTTTACCTGGTTTTGCAAGAGAGAGCTATAGCTTGCAACGTGTTAGTAAGGCCTGCATACTCCCAAGTTAAAAGAGATGCAAGAACAAGGGTTTTTCTACACAGACACTTGGGAAGGTTAATATTAAATACCTGGATGAAGTTAAATTGATTGGGTAATATTTTGATTTAGTCCACTTTAAAGTAATGAAGTCCCCAAAGTTGATCTGTTTCCATCTAGGCAGACCTAAGGTTCTATTTTTTATCCTTTTGCTTAAAAAAATTACTCTTACTTCAATTCCCTCATCTATAAAAATGTAAATAATAATACATAGCCACCTTTATAATTAACTTGGTGTAATACAAATACACAAAATATTCAGTTTCTGATTTTCTATAGACCTCAACTTGCCATTTTAGATACCACGACTAACTGTGGAGAAAATACCGAGGTCAGAAATAGTACTGTGGGATTCAAGCAAAGGATCAGAGCAACAGTCTCCTTCCTGAGCTTTTGTTTTCTTAAGGAAAGTAGCAAACTGCAATGGACTTGCTCATGCCTGCAACAGCATGACAGCATGCCAATGGCAGTACCATACATCAGGGTTTGTCAGGGAAATTGTGTGAACTGATCTCCTTCTTCGGACAGGAAACACTGCTGCTCTTTTCAGTCACATTGCTGAAAAATTACTGAGTTGACCTTGTTGAGTCAGGGCATAAAATGAACACTGTGACAGCAGTGATAGCATAGCAAAAACATACAGAAATTGGATTTAGGTGAGACTCTGCCCTACCCAGGCATAAACACATAACAGCTCTGCCTGGGGGACTGGCAGCTATAAACTCCTTATGCTACTAGGGAGCAAACCTGAGCCAAGACAAAGTCTTCCCTTTGCAGCCAAAGCACCCATCAGTCACTGTGTGCTGCCAAATAACGTATCAGTGGCATTACAAAGACTCTAGTGCTCAACAGGATTTCTTCCTAGTAATAGAAGGGTAGCACTGAAGGAGAGAGAGTGCTGTTAGGCACTTGGAAAACAGCTGGTTTGGATACACTGACATAGTTGCAGATTTCAGTTTTCCATTTGTGTCAGATTGGTGACGAAGTACCTGGCATGGTTTTGCCTTCAGTGTAGTCTGGCTTTTTAGACGAAGACTTGCTTATTTCTTCAAACTTAGAAGATGGTTGAGGACTTCTTGCTCTATTTGAAAAGCATCCAAAAGTCAAACTGCTTAGTCGCTGACAATCTCCAGGTTTTTGTGTTGAAGTAACAGATTTCTTGCCAGTAGCTTCTGAAGAACAGTAATTCAGAAATCGTGTGTTAATGGGATACAACAAGCTATTCTACTGCTCTCTTTGCAGTGCAAAGTTGTTTTAAGGTAACTAAAATTTAGTAAAAAATATAATAAAAATTTATTATAGGAATAAAAATATATCTGATAACTCCCCATATCAAAAGAAACCCAGAGCTACGTTTCTAGTTCTTAAAATTTGATTTTAACATAGGAAGAAAAAAAAAACCCAAACAATTCCACAGTGTTAAGATATAAACCACACACTTAATACAGAAAGAAAACATAGTGGAAATACCTGATTTTATTCTCCTATGACTGAAATTAAATGTAGGGGTTGTTCTGTGATATCTAATTTGGAAAAGACTGTAGAACAATAGTATTAAGATATGTGATGGCCTTCCCTTTAGATTAAAATATTAAGAGAATCTGTAATAGGTGCTACAGCAAATATACAAGAGTAAGTTCCTAGGCTTAGAAGGAAACGTGGAGGAAATGTTCAAGAGATAGTGAAAGCATAAATTGGTGAACTGTCTCAAAACTATGAAATCTGTCCGTAGGGACATCTATTCTGCCTGAAACTGATATTAAACAACGCTGTCCATTCCTGCTCATAAAAATCCCTGTGGCAGATCCAGGAACAAAAGGCCCTTACACTACCTGTAAACTGCTTAAAACAGTATATAATTTATAGCCTGTCACCCACATGGACATTGCAAATAGCAATAAATTTCTTAATATTTTTGAGTAACTGTTCAGTAACTGTGTGTTGAAAACCAGCTAACAATTTCCTAGGGTCTCAAAAAGCCTTTGAACGGATCTCTCAGAAGAGAATGACTGAAGCTGTAAAGTGCTGAAGTGTACAGAATTGCTACTGATCCACAAAATAGCAAAGAAGCAAAACAGTCCAGTTTCTCTGTTAAAGGAAAGGTGCAACTTAGTTTAAAAGCTTCATATTGTATATGTATGTATTTTATAAATATTTAAATTTTCATATATTATGCATATTATGTGTGCATACATACACATATCTGCATATGTTTCTAAATATCTGTGTATTTACATGCATACATGAGATACATTATCAAGATATGAGGGCTGGGTAGCAAACTAAGAAAATTTTCAGATTATAGTAAATTGTCAGATCAATCAAGTATGGAGAGGCCTGTGTGAACCTTCAGACAGACTTAAGGAAGTTGGTGAACAGGCAGCACGGTGGCAAATAAAATTCAAATCTGATTGAACTCAGATTCAATGTGAAATAATGCTCTGTGGAGGGGATATTCCTCTTTCTTCTGTTTACATTTTATGATTTTTAAATTTACTATATCTACTTGAGGAGGAACTTGGTAATACTGTGGCTGAATTAAGATTTTGGATCACTGTAATCAAACGCAGTAATTAGAAGAATGTGATTAGTTCTGATTCCCAACTGACCATTTGCTAGGAAAAGCAGATGCAGACTGACATTCATGTATTCCTTAACAGTGATAAGACCACCTGGCTATAAAGAAGTGAAAGCAAAGATCTGACATTAATCCAGTAAAATCTTACTACTTGCAGAACCTCTTAAATTACAGAGATATCCGTTCACCCAACAAAAAACGGTTGGGGCTTGTCTGGTGTCTTTTCAATAAA